AAGGGTCCCTTTTAAGCGTACATTAAATGCATTTAAAGACTTTGAGGAAGAAAAGAAAACACATAATGGCTTTGAACTGTAAACCAGTGAAAGTAAATCTTCATGTAATGGGGCCAGTGCATTCCATGGCACCACAACCCAGGGTCCATGCATCATGCACACATATCATAAGACATGCAGTACGGTGGCTTAGACTTTGATTTTGATTTGACAAGGTCTAAAGTGAACATTTCCATTTGATATATTTTGACTCAAAAGATCTTAATTCAAAGATACATTAAAGAATTTCAGTAGTTCAGCCAAAAAAGGGGGAAAATGTGTCATTAATTACTCAAACTCGTGTTGTTTAGAAGCAGGCTCGCTTATCTTCACAAATTAAGATATTTTAGATGAAATTCTAGAGCTCCCTCATCCTCCATAGACAGCAAGAGTGCAGGGATGTTCAAACTTTAACAAAAAATGTGTCAAAACATTCCATGTAACATAAAAAAATACATTTCAGGCCATAAAGTCTTAAATTCACTGAAAAATTGTGTTGTGTGTCTAAAATTTTGCCCTTCACTTTGTCAATTGGTAAAGTTTTTTTCCTCGCCACTATCAACACTTGCTTGGTCGGATTAGGATTTGTAGAGCTGCACATCGATGGATTTGCTTTTCAGTGTTTGAACTATAGCAGTGAAATTTAAGCCACACTGAACTGAATTTTAACTCTGAAATCAGGACTTTACCAGAACTATGCTAAGCTGCTTTGAAACCATTTACATTGTAAAAGCGCTATATAAATAAATATGAATTGAAATGACTTTAAACAGGTCTTAATTTTCCTCTGTCCAAGTAAAGCTACCTGTTGTGAATTTCTCTAATCCGGGTCACAGCACCAACACTGTTGTGAATTTCTCTAGTCTGGCTCACGGCACCAAACTGTTGTGGAATTATAAGACGAGCCCAAAAAACCAGGGAGAACTTTCGGTATCTTCAAAGCAGAATCCTTCAATAAGAAGAACTCTGTGGCGTCATCGAAAGAAACTCTCAATTGGTACAAAAGACACTCAGTTTAAATACATTTGATACATGTAGATGGGGACAGTCATGGTGGGGACAGTCAAACAAATGAAGTGTTGTTGTCGGCAGGGTAACATGCCTTTCCAGGCCCGATCTCATCAGCATATAAGTACCCATTCACGATACATTTTAGCATTAAAACAGTGTGCAAAAGATGTTCTGGAGACAGAGAAGACAATAGATACAGCCGTGTTGTAGAACTGATAATTTGCATTACTTTGGAGACTGTCAGGGCTCAGGAAATCAAGACATTTTAAGGTCTGCCACACCCTGAAAACAACTTTTCAGTTATTTATAGATAATATAAATTTATATTCCCACATACCCAGTCGGGCCGGCATCCATTCAGTTATTAACAATCCATCTTTATAAAACCTTTTTTTATATTTAAGTTTTTTATTGCAAAGTTTTTCAATAGCTTTTAGACATTTTTACAGCAATTTCTCCAAATTAAAATCCTTTATTCCCATTGAAAGAAAACTAAAAAAATTACACAGTTCCTCATGACAATAACGGAACAATATATCCCTTTACGTTATTCTCCATTCATACAAGAACTCTGTACAGAAGTAACAGGGAGTTTACATAATATTTAAAAACAGGCATGCAATTTAATGGTGCTATCGAACAGATATTTAAGAAACATGCTAAGTGAGCATACTTGTTTATCTGGAAAAAAAAAAAACAATGCTGAAGTCAGATATTCTGCTTTGAAAATGTCTGTTTCGGGCCGGAACGCTGTCTTTGTTTTGGTTCTTTTAACCCGCCCAAGGGCAGTTTAGCCAATTATATCTTAGCACCACAGGTTGCCTTGTTATAAAACTACATAAATTAATTCATGCATTCATTCATTCATTCATTCATTCTAAAAGGCTCTCAAAGCATGTGCCCGTAACCCAAATGCAAACTCCAGTGGACAGTAGCAGACTCAAAATGTGACGCAGAGTTCCACATGAGATTTTTAATTAGCAAAAAATATATTACGAGTGTAAACATTAGGTGAGCAGGTTTCATTGTAACCAGTATTCTAACAACACGCTATGTGACAAGATTTGCAGTGTTAAGCAATTTGGCTGTTTGCACTAGTCGAAATGCATCAGAAACATAAATACAGCCATTTAGAGGCACAGAATAGTGCACTCACTAACGAAATGTTAAGATTTATGATCTAATTAATACATATTAAACTTCTTTAACATTATTAAATGTGCATGCTGATTCACTATATGTTGGTTTTGAGTCACAGTTTTAAAGTTCAATTTCAAGCGTTTTTTTATTTTCAAGATCTGAGGTAAACTATTTGCTGCTGCTTTTCGTATTATGGCAATAAATGTCAAGTAAAATGACATTCAAACTCACATTACTAGCATTCAACACTGAATCAAGCACATGAGATGTACGTGATCATTGTCGAAGTTTTCTGTTGTTCAACTGTGAGAAATAGAAGCGGTTTCTAATATATCAATTTGAGGTGTTGGTTAGAACAAAAATTCCCTTTAATATAGGGAATATTCCTTTTATCGCGTGCCGATGCTTTTATTTAGAACACGGTCTAAATCAGCCTTTAGGCTTGATCTGGCAACCTGTGCTTGTGTTTGTTTTAATCCAGGAATGCATTACCTAGTTCAACCACTGGGTGTCAAATTTACATACTGCACCTTTAAGGTGTTATAACAGAAATGCATTAGGTTGAACAAAAGTTATACTCAGTCAATTTGGACCAAAGACCAACAATATAGTTTGAATATTTATGTAATCCACAAGTTATGCGTCTCTTCAATAAATATAATTTTAACATGTTAAACTTGTCATAAAAAAAGAACTATTATATTGACAAAAAGTATGTTGTAAGTAAATTATGTAGCTAAGAAATAATTACGTTAGATTTTTTTATTTATTTATTTATTTTTGTGGCAAGCAAAAATAAATAAATAAATTTCTATTGGTCCAACTGGGCCATTAGAAATAATCACTAGTGTTTAGCCCTGTATTGGTCTAAAATTTAATTTAGAATGGATTTGAAATGGTCTTGAAAGGTCTTAATTTTGATTTGATAAAACCCTGCAGAAACCCTGAATCATATGAAGCTCCAAGAACACTTATATGTTTTTAAATAGAACACGTTTATAGTTTTCTTTAGACTTTCAAGCTGTCACTGTCATATCTGCTACTCACGTTCAACTCATAAACAGTACTCGATGCGGGTGGCAGCAGCACTCAGTTGCTGTTCACAGAAGCAGCCTCAATTAATCTGCAACAGTAATTTTTTAAAAAGCACAACATGAATAATTACAAAAGAGGCACTTGTTAAACAAATGCTGTAACTGTCTGTGCTGACCCATTTCCTTTGTCCTTATCATACAGAGTGTGAATATCATTTAGTTCAATGTTTTTCTCACCTCTGACCCACATTTCAGCATACATGTACTCAGAAACATTCATCGCAGGCTTGTTACTGTACAGTATTAGTGCTGGATGCTACTGTCCCAAAACTAGCTGGTTCATGAACAGTACACATTTTTTGTTTGTTTTTTTCATTTATTTAAGATTATAAAATGTTCAGTTTGCATTTATTTAATTATTCAATAATGTTGTGAACTTGCTTTTGTATGTTCTTACCACATAACAAGCAAATTTTTTCAAATTACCCAACGCAATCTCACGGCGATTTATAACTTTTTGATTTAGAAGCTAACTTGTATGAATTCGTACGATCTAATTCATACAATTTAGTACGATTTGCTCATCACCCAATGACGGTTAGGGGTGGGGTTGGGTGCCATGCCTCCTTTTTAAAATCGTACATTTTTGTACGACTAAACTCGTATGAATTCGTAAAAATTAAACTGACAAAATGTAATATACTTACGTTTCCTCATAAGATCTGGCTGAACTACCTGCTAGCCCTTCGGGCAGGTCCTCTTCTGTTTTTGGTAGCCCAAAATAGATGTAAGTAGCCCAAATAGATTATTTACTAATTACAAAAGTTGTAATGCCGTTTGTTATAAACATAACTTAGTAAGGACCTTAAAATACTAGTCATATAAAATATCATAGTCAAATATATATACAATAGTAATTGTTGGTCATACAAATATTTGAAAACCTAAAAGGGTCTATTTTTACTTGTATATATTCTTAATTACAATACAGAATTTTGTTTTTGTAAAATGAATAAGTAGACAGGGTGACTGACATAATAAAAACATCAAAAACATGACTGGCTTTTCAAATAAAGAGCTAAATCTTTGTAAATATGTGCTTCACAGACATGAGAGACACGTCTGCAAAAACCCTGAAATATAAATGATCGCACTCATTTTGAAAACAAAAGTTCTCTGGTTTAGTAATCCACATGGAACCAACACAATTCAGTCTTCTATTGTTATATGAGGGACGCTGACAACGGAGTTGAGGATCCAAATGCAGTTTTATTACACGAATGGCCAGGCAACGGTCAACAGGGTCAAACAGATACATACAGATAATCCAGAGTAGTTGTCAAAGAACAGGGGAATGTTCAGTATTGGTGGCATGCAGCGTAAAAAAACAGGCAGAGGTCAAACACAGCAAGCCAAGAGAAATGCGTCGTAATGTACACTAAACAGATAAACAAGACTCAGCCCTGATGTATGTGTATGTGTGCTATTTATATAGTCCTTGAATCAGTCCATGAATAATTTCAGCTGTTGTGTGTTTGCAATCAGCGGTAAACAGAAACCAGCGTGTGCGAGGTGCATGCTGGGAGTTGCAGTTCTTTAGTGTGGTATGGTGTTTAGTTCTCCAGTGATCCTTAAGTATTAGACAGTCTTAAGTATTAGACAGTCCTTAAGTATTGAAACATTGTGCATAGCAAAAATCTGAATCACCCAAATCAATCACCCAAAAGTCTTGAAAAAATTCTAACATTTCCAATTTTCCACTGTCTCCATCTCTAGATAAGCCTTGGCTCTCCGTCCTCACATAATCTACTTAAGAAGCGGAAGGCTCCAGCACCTCCACCTACACCACCACCTAGTACACCCGAGCCAGATATTTCCACCTACGTGCCTACTGCAACTGTGCAGGAACACTACATCCCAGCGTCGGTTGAAAGGACTCCCCGAGCCTCAACTCCAGCTGACGACTCTGATCTGAGCCATAGCATTGAGGATTCAGAGCCAGCCAGGTCCATCTGCAGTAGCTCCAGTGGTGATGATGCAGCAGCTGTAGGATCCAGCAGTAGCAGCCTAGCTGAAGAACCTGTGACGCATCGAGCTGATGTGATAGCTCCATTCACCACTTCTACGCCAGAACCCGAACCCAAACCAGAATATGAACCTGAACTCAAGAAAGAAGCAAGTCCTCGCTCTACACCTGAACTAGAACCGGGTCCACGTCCAGAGGTTCCAGCTGCAGAAGACCTAGAGGTAGAGATGGAGCTGAAAATGGAGGAGACGGAGAATAACCGTCATAGTGGAATAGGTAATGTAATGTTATCTTTTTAACCTGGCAATTTTCTAACGCTTATTTTCTGGCATTTCAACAGCAAGTTCCTTTTCAACACATGACCTATAAATTGTAAAAGAATTCCCGCCAGAAGCTGAATGTCTAAAAGTGCAGGCTGAGCTTCATATCAATCCACCATCTCCCTCACTCACTCTGCCACACTAAATCAGTTTAATATCGAATCTACAGTGTGAGAAGGACAACAGGTAAACAAGATCAGTATATTGACTATTTATTTTTAGCTCTAAACCAACAGTATTGTGCAATTTCTGAAAGCATAACGTACTGTACCTCATAGCCAAGATGTTCCTGGAATTACAAAATCAATTACTTATTTACAAATAAATCCTGAAGCAATGCAGTGAGTGTGATGAAAAATCCATCAGAATAGTACACATTAAGGGTGTCACGATCCTCCAAATCCTCGATTCGATTACATTTTCGATTCTAAAGGCACGATTCGATTCGATTTTCAATTATGAATAATTAATTAATTAATGACCAATTAATTATTTGTAGCCTACCGTTTAAACTACCTGACCTGCATGGTCTTTGTTTTACCCATAAACAAATCATACAGTAAATCAATCACTTTTTCTGCGGGACTCGTGAATAGGCAGTGATCTGTGTCGTTATAATGGCGTCGGTAAAAAAGACGCACAACCAACAGGAACCAGCCAACAGTATCTGAGGTGTTCGCTAAAATGACTAAGTACAAGTGAGTGAAAGATTGAAGCAGTCCTCTGACTGCCTGGACCTGCTGTCTCGAGCGCATGGCTATGTGTGCGTCTGTGTCTGTGTGGTCACGTGATGTGCATTTTCAGAGGTAGAGAGGAAGGAGGGCTGCTCAGAAATGCTACACGCCACTGTGGATGTCAAATCGTTGTCGTTCTAAAATGCCGTTTAAAAACAAAGACAGTGTAAACAGGGCCTGAGTGTGTACTTTTCGCGAGCGGATTTGCAACGGGGGCGGGCGGAGGATCGCAATGCCGGTGTTGTCTATCTGACGAACCGTACGTAATACGTACATAGCAGAGCTTGCAAAACTGTGTTTTTTTTTTTTTTGTCGACAACACGAACGTTGTCAACATAACTCACAGAAAATCCAAAATGCTTACACATCGGCGACTTCATTGAAAGAGGAGAGGGTTTAAGTTCTGTCGACGGGTCTCCTGCTTCTGCAGTTTAACAAGCACTTCAACAAGCCTGTTTTTTTCCCGCTTGGCAAGCCAAGCTGACATGACATGGGGGAGTGGCAGCATCGACGATTCTATTTTTTGATTCGATAATCGAAATTGAGCATAAATTTCGATCGATTTCGATTTAAAATCGAAATCGTGACACCCCTAGTTCACATGTTCTGTAACTATAGAATACACAAGACTTGTCACTTCTATTGTTTTAAATAGTGAACCGTAACTGTAAATACAGGCACTCTAGAAAGGGAAGTCTTGCCCTCTAAAAGGAGTCAGTTGTTCATTGCTGTAGAACAGGGGTCACAAAATCTCGGCCCGCTGGCAATTTACAGGCACCCCTCCTCCTTCCAGGTATTTAAGCAAATACTTGCCTCACAGGCATGAGTAATATATCTACTTAGGGTGTGACGAGACGCTTACTCCATGAGAAAAGATGTAAGATTGGGTTCATGAGAATGAAATTTCTATACTATTTTTTGCAATCCTCAATTATGAAAAACAGTGGGGGAAATAAGTATTCATCACATCACTTTTTTTCTCAGAAAACATACTTCTGAAGGTGCATTTGACTTGAAATGTTCACCAGATGTTGATAACAACCAAAGAAATACAAATATTAAAAGAAAACAAATCTGATTAGTTTACAAGTTATTTGTAATAAAATGAAATGACACAGGAAAAAAAGAATCGAACACATGAAGAAAGGCAGTGAAAGCCCACACAGCAGCTCAAATCTCTCAGTTGTTATTCAGCGAAAGAAAATCAAGCAGCGGCAAAAAATAAATTAAACAAGTAGATAATAGGCTGAGAATGTGGTAAAACATGGTAAAACATCAGGCGAGGGCTTTTCTTTTTCTGAATTGCTTTTGAAAATACTTTCAGTTGGGTTTAGCGAAGTGGGTGTACAGGTCAATCGGTGCTTCTTTAAACACTATCGGTTGGGTTTAGGAAGGGGGAAGGTGGGTGAGTCGATCAGTAAGTCAGTCGATAGCGGCCTCTGGTGGATATATGCGAGAAAAGCAGGCGTGAATGGCATTCGCGAGAGAATTTTGAGTTCTCACAAAGCATACACAGCGGCCTCTGGTGGATCCGCAAAAGCGAAAACTGAAAAAACACATAGCTCCTGGAACGTATTTCGCGATTTCCAGAAATTAATATAGTGGTATAATTTCAGAATGAGCCAGGATTGACTTTGGATATTAGTGAAATATGCTGAGCAATGTTTAAAAATAGAACACTTCAAATGTAATATAAGTAAACATATAGATCTTTGATTGTTGGAAAAAGTTTCACCTAAGTGCTTTTGGTAAACACTTACTAAGCATTGACTGTAGACTGATAAAAATCAACAGTTTTTTAGTGTAAAAGCTAAATGGACTGTACAGAGGGTGTGGGACACCATTTATTGATTTCTTTGTGTTTCTTCAGAAGCCAACTATAGGAATAAGACTCGTCTCTACCTCTGAAACAGCCTTAGTAATGCAAAATCTAATGTAGTATGAATATAGAAATGTTATGAGACCAGAATTGTGATGGATCTATGTAATATACATCTTTTTTTCACAGGTTTTGACATTCCTAATTCATCCTTTTTCTCAGCTATATACTTTAATCCACAGGATTGCTTAATGTGAAAAGCCCTTCTCTCTTTCTCTTGTCTTAAATCTCCACTCTCACTGGATTGAACACCGTGAGACATATTTAACAGCTACTTTTTATTTCTTTCCCAGGCTAATTCCTGCATATTGTAGACATTTTACCCTTTTAATCCAAACAGAAGAAATGGACAGTAATAAATTGGATATAATTTGATCTGTAAAATCCCCAAAACATTTTGGACAATTTTAAGGAGTCTATTAAAAAGAGTTTAACAAATTAACTTATGTCTATTTCCATTTTGCATCTTTCTCTTTCAGAAAAGACAGATTTTAAGAGGTATTTAGAACGCCCCAGAGTGGCATAGGGTGTGTTTAACTGATTCATTTGACATTGTGAAATTTGCTCCACATATTTGTAATGAGGCAACAGACTGTGAAAAAAAACTGCTAAATATAAGTTTTTAATATATTTTTATGGGTTGTGTCATATCACTCAGCTCCTAATGTGTGTGTGCAACACATACAGTATGTACTCTATTGTTTAACATGTGGCCATTTAACTGCACTACACACCATACAGTTTCACTTTGCATCCAGTCTATTAGTAAGCTCTTTAAACACTCTTTCCATCAATCTTTTGGATTAATGGTTGCTTTTTTTGTCATTCATTATGCAAGTAAGTGATGTGCTCTTGCTGGTGGACCTTACTGCTCTTTTATTGAACTCTGTAGCTTTGTAAGTGTCCTTTCCTTTCTGTTTTCTCAGAGAACATTTTAGCATTCACCCTGATTAAATGCAGGAACTGAATGCTTAAGCAAACAACATATTTCAGCATATTTTATTTATCTTCAAAACAATAAGGGGGAAATTAAGAAAAAGCATGCATATTTACAGAGAAAATTATGGTTTAGGTTCTGCATACTTTTCTAAAGACCTTTGAATATTGTAAAGCCAGTGCTGGAAAAAAACCCTGGCTCAATGGCTTTCTTTTCAACCCAAAACTAACCCACAGTTTATTTATTCGATGAAGTGCTTGGTAATTAGCCCAGTATTCTAATTAGGTGGGTTACTTAAACGGATGGGAAAACATTCAGTGAGAGTTTTTGCTTAACTAAATGGCATTGATGTTAGAATAAAGAATAGAATATAGAAACGATTTTTTTTTTCAAAACATATATATACATGTAACGGAGGCCAGCTAGCAAAGTGCTATGCAGGTAAAACTTTCCTCTGACCTCAAAAGGTGCTCTAGACGCTAAAGGTCATGGTCTTTAGCCTCCTTGTTAGAGCAGCCGACTCCCATGCAAAGAATCACCGTATTCTGAATACAGTTACAGTACAGAATCGATCCCAGCTGAGACCAAGTTGGGTGCTGTAGGACCGCTGGGTTACACATGGGGGCTCGTCCGGGATGGGAGTGAGGTTTAGAGGGGTAAGTGTAATGGAAGCCAGCTATCAAAGTGCTATGCAGGTAAACCTCACTCTTCTGACCTCAAAAGGTGCTCTAGATGCTAGAGGCCATGGTCTTTTACCTCCTTGTTAAAGCAACTGACTCCCATACAAAAAATTGCTGGTTCGATCCCAGCTCAGACTGAGTTGAGTACAGTAGGACTTTGTATTTATAAAGTTGAAGTCAAAATTATTAGCCCTCTTGTAAAATTGTAAGTGGTTTAAAGTATTTCCAGAGTGCTGTTTAACAGAGACAATATTATTTAAACACATTTAAAAAACAGTTTTAATTAACTATTTAATAATAACTAATGTCTTTCGCTTTTGCCTTGATTACATTAAATAATCTACAGTGGACAATCTTTAATGGGCTAATTATATTATATTTACCTTGTTTTTTTATGTTAAAACTCCAAAACTTCCTTAAACATTACTTGGGATATATATATATATATATATATATATATATATATATATATATATATAAACATACACACACACACACACAAACACAAACACACACACACACACACACACATATATATATATATATATATATATATATATATATATATATATATATATATATATATATATATATATATATACAGTTGAAGTCAGAATTATCAGCCCCCCTGAATTATAGCTGCTTAATACAGATTAAAGTGACATGTAAATGCTTAACTAGGTAATTTGGGTAACTAGGCAGGTTAGGGTAATTAGGCAAGTAATT